GGGGGGGCAGGGGGGGAAGACCCCCCAAATTCTGCCAGAAAGGAGAGGGGCAGCCCTAAGCTTGCAAAGGGGATGGGGAGACCATAGGGACGCCCCCACCCCATTAGGCTGCTCAGAGCAGCCGGACCCCCCCCTTTCCTCTGTGTTTGCACCTAGGTGGCTGCGGCGTGGCCTCGGTGACACAAGTTGCGCCGGTCTCAGCCCAGCTGAGGGCTGCGGGGGCAAAACCCCTTTGGGTGGCTGGAGAGGGGTCGGGCACGTCCCTTGGTGGGTGCTCTGGCCGAAAACAAGTACCCCCAAACCTGCTGCCCCCATCGCTGGTGTTTTGGGGATCGTCCCTGAAGGACAGCCATGGGGGGCTCGGTGCTGCATGGCTGATGGGGAGTGGGATGGGGGAGCAGGATGGGGGGGAGGACCCCAAAATCTCACAGGGGTTCGGGATGTGGGGCTGCATGCACCTTGCTTGGGGGTCTGGACTGTATGCTCGGGACGCGGGGGCCACTTGTATCTTGCTGGGGTGGGGGGTCAGGACACGGGGACACTTAGGCTTCATTTGGGGTTGGAATGTGGGGACTGCACGCGTCACATTTGGGTTCAGGATTTGGGGACCCTCACATCACACTGCAGGTCAGGATGTGGGGATACCTGCATCCTGCTCGCGGGCAGGGACGTGGGACCCTCACGGGGTGCTCAGGGGCAGGAGATGGGGACCCTCACACCGTGCTCAGTCAGGATGCCGGGACCCTTGAACGGGGGTTGGGACATGGGGACCTTTGCGCTGGAGTCGGGGTCAGGCTGCAGGGACACTTGCATGGCACTTGGGGTCACAGGGGGACCCTTGTGCGGGAGCTGGGACATGGGGATCCTTGCATGATGCTTGTGGTGGGGACCCCCACGTTGGGTTTGGGGGTCAGGACTTGGGGACCCTTTTATTGGGGCTGGTATGGAGGGAGCCCCGCTTCAGGGCCAGCACCTGGGGACATTGCATTGGGGTCAGGACTTGGGGACCGCAGCATCTCCCCCGGGACTCAGTGAGCTGGAATCGGGGGATGGTGGGGGTAGGTTGTGTCTTTCCCCTTCCTCCTCCTCCTCGCAGGGACCGTGACTGGGGGACAGATCCAGACTCCCCGCCACCCTGGGTGGCTCTGGAGAATTTGGATGCGGCACCGCTTAACCCCATCCTGATCCAGCCTGTGCCCCGAAACCCCGCTGCCATGAGGAAGAAGCCAGCCAATGGGAGGGGGCTGGATCCTGTGGCCCCCCAGCAGCGAACCCGGGGCATCGCCAAGCCGGCGGAGGTGATTTACCCACGGGGGGGGACCCTGAGATGAGGTTTGGGTGCAGGTGCATCTCAGGGTGGTCCAGTTGCCCCAGGGGGTGCAATTGCAGCATCGTGTGGGGGTTGTTGCTGACATGGGTGGATTTTTGCCCCCCCCAGTATGTGGGCTCCTTCACGGTGGAGGACGTGGAACTGCAGCAGCAAGCGGGGCAGCTGGAGGAGCAGCTGCGGGCGCTGAAGGTCGGGCATCTGCCACCGCTCCCCCTTGCTGGGAAACAGGGGGACCCCCAAATGGGGGGGGACACCCCCAGGCGACACAGCTCAGACCTCGCCAACGCTGCATCTCTCCTGGCCAGGACTGCCCCAGGAGGAGGACGGTGGTGCTGAGGTTCAGCTTGCAGGGGCTGAAGGTCTATGGCGCCGATGGGGAGGTAGGGGTGCTGGATGGGGGGTCATGGGTGCTGGGGGGGGTCGAGGGTGCTGGGTGCTGCTGGAGAAGTGCTTTGGGGGAGGTGCTGCACCACTCCAAGTGTTGCTTTTCGCTTGGGAACCTGCTTTGCATTTGCAAACAGGGGTGACCCCAGTATTGCTCGCACCCCAGGGAGGGCCCAGGGGTGCTCGGTCCCAGTGACACCACCCCCACCTCCCTTCTGTCCCCACAGACGCTGCTGATGGCGCATGCTCTCCGCCGGATCCTGTACAGCACGTGGCGACATGCCGACAGCCAGTTCGCCTTCGTGGCCCGCAATCCCCACAGCCCGGCCAGCACCCTCTTCTGCCACCTCTTCGGTGGGCGCC